TAAAAGGTAGCACCCCGAATCAGTTTTCGCAAAGTAAAAAGGGTTTATTTTGAATACTTTGCGAAATTTGCGCTACTCTGATTTTACAATAAGGAGGGGTGTTACAATTGGTATCAGAGCATGTTTCTGCGGCTCTGACAAGTTTTTCAGTCAGTAAATTTTTTAGAAAAACCTGAACCGTCATGCTCACGCCCCGCCGACGACAGGTAAGTGCTGATTCAGTTTTTCAGTTATAAACATATTACTTTGTCTATGCTCAGAATTGAGGATCAGGACTTTAGTTAAGATGCTCGAATAAGGTTCAGACTTTAGAGTTCGGACATGACTCTAGAATTCAGGCATTCAGATATGACTCTAGACATTAGGATCTTCCTATATGACTCTAGAGTTCTTCAGGTTTCACGTCAGTATTTATCGGCCATTTTTGGCAACTCGTCAAGAGATCTGTGTGCTTTAGAAATCAGTAAGAATATTTCCATGTGTTCAATAATTTTGAACTTTCTCAATGTTCAGATGATGCCCCGTAGGGAACCATATTACCCGGTTTTTACTAAGGCACAGCAGTCGCACAGTTTCACGACTATCAGGCTCAAAAATTTTCCAGGCAAGGAGATCCCCGTATCGTGAACAAGTGGATTCAGAACCTTAGAAAGGATTAAGTTTAAGAACTCTAGATTCAATTCTAGATTTATTCAAGTCAAATTAGCAATTGGTCAGAAGATTTGTAAGCACTTGTGCTAAACAAATCTTAATAATCATGTTTCTCAGATATTTTTATCGAGGACTGCCACTTTGTTAATCAATTGGCAGACTCCAGGGAGAAATTCCTTGATTTAATTCGAGGAATAGACTCAAAGTTCCTAAGTCAGATCAGTAAGTCATGTTCAAGGCAAGAATTTTCATGTTAAAGGTTGTTATAATTCTCAAGTCATTGTTAAGGTAACGGTTTCCAGTGTATAAGAGTCAATAGTCCGGGTTACCATGGAGGCTTGAAATAAGAGCCACTCAGCCGGGTATACCATGGAGGCTTGAAGCTGGGGCCGAATCAGTAAGATTTCAGGTAATAACAACCTTTCAAGTCAGTCATGTCAGATATTTTATCAGTCATGATATTTTAAGTTATGATTTTCAGAAATCAAGATCAGCTAATTACTTTGTACTTGCGGGACCAGTTGATACTGGAGCAGCCCTATATATTTACAGTTTATGTTCATGATGTAAGGTCGACGTATAATAGTTGTTCAACCGGGTAAAATGTGGCGGTCGGACATACAGACCATTAGTCCAGATTTACCTGGAAACTTGAAGTCGCACCTTATCAAGTCAAGTAAGTCAGTAAATATCACGTTTTCAATTTCGAAGCGACTATTTAAGTTGTCTCGGGATAGTTTTCAGAGTTCGAACAAAGATGATTCAGTCATGTGAGAGTCAAGTCATGGTTATTCAGTCATGAGAGTATTCAGGCCAGTCATGTTAAGATCGAGGATAGTTTGTCTAATAAGACAGACTGATCCATCATTTTCAGTATGTCAGTGCCTCGATTCTCAAATTCTGAAGAATCTGAGAAATCGTGGAGATATTAAGTCATGAGGGACTTCTTCTTGAGGTTAAGTTTAACCTCGGAGGGAGTAAAAAGTTGCAGGTACCACAGGTTGACATTCGCCGCAATGAAGAAGAGCCAAGCGACAACAACGGATCGTGCCATGATGGTAAACCGACGCTTTCCATTCAAGATTCCATGCCAGAGTCTCAGTACATTGGGAGATTACAGAGAGAGTCTTCGCCACCAGCATTCCGATTGAAGATTCGCCAGCAGCCAGGAGAGGATGACCAACATATTCAGAGTTTCGTTTTGAGATCATGTCTTATCAATGGAACACTTTCTTTCAGAAAAGTGTCCATTTTCAGTCAGCAGTATTCTACAATTCACTTAATTGTGAATTGATGTATCTTCAGTTCAGATCAAGTCTTTTATTCAGTATTAAATTACTGGATTCTCAAATCATGCAATCAATAAGTATAAGCTTTAAGTTAAGCTTGTACATTCCAGTTTTACTTTTTCCGAGGAGCTCAAGAGGAGGTTAACTTCAGCACCGGTGTTGACTATTCCCGATCCTTCTCGGAG